CACATCAAGCTTAAAGCAACATCGAACATCACTGTATAGATATCATATCGAGTATCTATATTTCAGAATTAAATACAACAATCACATTGGTTGATCACACCAGAGATAGAACTGAGCATTGCTTGCATGCCAATCAACAATGTGAAACTTGACAATATCGCATTTGTGAGTGATCTCCCTTGAGCTCATCAGTTACAGCCTGTATTATGATATGCATTCACTATATGACACTTAAAAGACTTACCTGCATACACAGACATGTATCAAGTGGTTTCAGGATTACTACTATCCACTTCTTCACTTTCATTTACATTCAATGTGTCTTACAGGCGATTGACTTAGTAAAGCACTCTGTCTTTCATCCTTTTCAGCAATCGGGTAATGTCTATTGGTTGTTTGCACGCAGAGCTGAAGGCTATCCAACGTTCATTGTTGCCTTGATCAAATCCTATTTCCTTGGACACGCGGTTTTAGACTTCACCTCCATTTGTTCGTCGGTTACACCGAGAGCTGTTTATCCATCAATTTCAAGTTTACCAGTCAATGTTCCATTGTCAACTTCAAAGATATTTATTGAAGGCGGTATTGCACACGTACAAAGGTATAGTGATTTGGACACAGTTGAAGTGAGTGGAATCTTCCATTCCTGTGCATATCTCTTGCATATTTTCAAACCTAAAATCTTAACGCTTTATTGTGTAATGTAATGATAAGAGTTGAATATCGAAAACTTCTGGACACATCTCAAAACTCGCATGCTCTCTTCGAAATAACCAACGAAATACTACATACAGAAGCAATCTGAATCCTGTTTCATCGACTCTTTACTCACCAATGGAAATTTTCACGAATCGATGTGAGGATCAAAAAGACAAAGAAAAAAGTCCAGTTTACTCGCCACCTGTATGCCCAATTACATACATTCCGGTCACAATCGGAATCCATTTCAGGTAACAGAGGTGTGTACACACGATGCAGAAGAAGTCACAATAGACGTGTCAATACATTGTCAAGTTCTTCCAAATCAAATGCTTTCATAGAATCATGCGTAGAAAAATGTTGGTTTCGAAATGACAGGAAACTATCTGAAAGAAGAAATCTCCATGGAAAATATCCCTTATCACTTGATGAGTTAAAACATTCATAGCAGACAACTAAAACGACCAGAAACGATTCATATTCTCACGGTTGCAACTTCATAATTATCTAAGTCCACGATTTATCGACTACGAAGATGACCACGAAAATTTTATGCTCACCAACCACAACGTGTTATCACCCGCGAAAATGGAGATCAAGATGTCATGGAAGTCCACTTGGTACTTTCAAACAAAACTATTACGTTTCGATACTGGAGTAGGAAAATACAGATAATTGGTTCACAGTCGTAATCTCCAGTAAGATTATGAACTATTGATGTGTACTTGTCCGAGAATATGTGGATGAAATACGTAGTTCTGTAATCAATAAAGAAGAACAGATGGCAGACAACATACAGGTTTCATTCATGAAGTTTCCCTCATTATTCTTGTATAAAATAAACGAGCTGCAACAATGCAAGTACTGGCTTCAAGCCTTTTTTCTCCAGGCAGCACATTTAACAATTATATGCGAGTTCTGGCTTTATTGTTAATGTAAAGACAATACTTCCACTTGTCCATCTTGTCAACTTGTGAACATCTGTTCTGCTGCCATGCTTCATCCTAATGATATGCATCACGTATGCCTTCCAGTGAATTCATAGTTGAGGGTTGAAGCTACCTGCCCTTAAGAAATGTATAATTCACAAGTGAACTTTCTACATACCTTCAAAAATCATGTGTGACTGTATATTATTATTGTTATTATCATTACTGGATGAAATCTCTTGAATAAATCAGCCAGAGTTAGTTCTTTGAGAATAAACTTGTTCAACCTCTTCCACTCCTTATTTCCATGATCTAGTTATTATATTCAGTGTCAAACAAACAAAAGTCTTTGATACAATTGTCAACCACCTCCTCTTCATCCAAGTTAGTGGCAATTCCCAGGTTGAAAGTGAGAAGATTTCACATCACACACAAATAGTGCACGTTATGTTACTCACTGAAATTTTGTGTTCATTAACAGGCACAATAAAGCTATCTGGAGGAAATGAGAATCGTGTTTAATGAACATGTGAAAGCATCATGGAAATAAGGAGTGGAAGAGATTGAACAAGAAGTAGTTGTTTGTGCACTCAGTATGCTTGTTGCTTCGACTTGTTTGATTAATTGGGAGTGTTATGATTGGAAGACATCTGTGTTCGCTAACGGTGCATGAATGTCGTCTGTCAGCCACCAACATTCAACGAATTCCTAGTTGATTCCCAACCTGACTGACTAATAGCAAAGAAGCGATGAACTTGTAGAGACATGTATTGACGTCGAAAGACCGATGACCAAAACAACGGGAAATACGGCACATACATGGATAGTTCGCTGTTCAAAATTATATTTATTGGCTGATCCACCTTCTGTCTTTCTAAATGGTAGCAGAAATTTTGTTGACGTCAACTGGGTATGCTTAAACTACTCAATACGCTGTCCAGATTGCAACGAGTTCTTTTCATCCGATGATCTGAACAACTCTCTTATAAACTTCTATCTCAATTTATATTTCTCTCTCGACTCCGTAGCACAGAAGAAAGCAAAACAGCATAATATGAATGAACATCAATAAGTACATCCCTATCACATTCAAGTGAAAACTAAGGAAACTGAGAGAAATATTATTTGTGAAAACCATCACTTTCCTGCCATCTTTAGTATTCATGTGGTTTTCAGTGACCTGGGATTTTGCAGACGAAAAAGTGAAACATTTACTTTGAATAAAATTCCAGAAAATATGAAAAACTGGTCTTCTCTCCACTTCTCTTAAGAAGAAGCTCTGAAATGGACCTAACTTTCTGAATATGTTGAGAGTAGACAAGAAGATTTTTACAGACCTCACAGAGGAATGTGAACTACGAGACGCAATGTTTCGTCTTTTGTTCTCTGATTGTAATCACAGCCTTGTATTATTCAGTGACACTGGAGCATATTAATCTCGGGAGTTGAGTTTAATCTAAACAACGCACATGATGCAATAAAATCACTTAAACCCTCTCTTAGTGAGGGAGTAGATGGGATACCTGGTATTTTCATTGAAAGTGACAGCGCAGACTTCCCCACATTGCTAGCAAAAATATTCAACCTGTCCTTACACTCTGGCATTTTCCCAGTTTCATAGAAGACTAGTCCTACTGCTCCGTGATTTAAGGAAGGTTCCAGACTCGGTCTGAAAATTATCGCCCCATCAACATAACATCTCTTTTTTAAGCATAATGCAGAAAGTAGTGAAAAACACCGTCATTTCTCACCTGTCATATCACAAATGTTTGAGCTGCTCGTAGCATGGATTTCTGCCTAAGAAATCTTCTATCACTTGTCACCTAGAATTCTCCGAATGCGTAATTAACAGCAGAGACGGTGGAAAAGTGGTTTCCCCTCTTTACTTCAGTTTTGCGAAAGCCTATGACAAAGTGCATCACCCCTAACTCCTTCATAAACTGAATTCATTTTGGATAAATGTCAGGTTGCATGATTAGATTGGCTGATTTCTATTGAACAGCATTCTAGTTGTCAAAACAGGCTCATATCGTTCCCTTCCCAGAAATATCACCAGTGGAGTAATCCAAGGCTCAGTTCTGGGACCTCTTCTCTTTATAATGTGTATAAATGATATGTGCGCCTGCTTCAATCAGGGAAAACCTTCCTCTTTTCAGATGACTTGAAAGAAGTGTACACCTTTCACCCTAACCAGTGTGGCAGCGTAAACACCACCACATAAAATGATCTTGACAAGCTACAGAGATGGTGTGACACGTAGTGTGAAGCGGAATTCCTCACTAACTGTAAAGGATATTTTGTGTAAAAGTTTGAAGAAAAATGCAAGTTTAGTCTTAAGACGTGTCATCTAAAGTGGTCGTAGATTAAGGGATGTACATCGAGATGCATAATCCTGACCACACTCATAACCAAGTAGCTCAGGTGTAAAGTACCTCTGAACACTCTCAATCTTAAGTTTGTCATCTATACGGATGCTCCCCAAAATAAACGAACAGTATTCTAACAGGGGTGGGATGCACGCTTTTTATAGCAATAATTTGGCTTCGTGGTTACGAAAGTTACGAATTATACAGCCTAGTAGTATTCTGGACTTACGAGTTTGTGCCACAACATCTTCAGAGAATGTGAGGTCATTAGAGTAACTGAGCCTTAAGTCGAGGACACTACGGAAACTAGGTAGCATTGCAGTTTGGAGAAACAATTGTAGAAGGTGCACCAAAGTATATCCAATCACACTTATCCAAGTTGAAATGTGGGTTGCGAGTGTTTACTAGGTCAAGTTCGCTCTGTACTAGTCCTTGGAAGTGGGGCAGATCGTCACACCAGAATTTGTATGCAATCTTTGATTCATCGGCAAAGAAAAACGGTTCACCAACTGGAAAGCATTTGCAAAGGTGATTAAAGTAAAGGGTGAAGAGGAGACGACCGAGAACGCTACGCTGAACTAGGCCAGAAGTAATGCGTCTAGGTTTAGAAAGCTGAGATTCGATTTTTACAACTTGTGAATGGCTATAAAGAAAAGATTTAATAGTGGGTTGACAAGTTTAAGGACTTATAGCTTTTGGATAAGCAGTGAATAATCCACGCGGTTGAATACCTTGGACTAACTTACATTGACCACAGCTAGCGGTCAACAAGTGAAAGAAATCGAACTGGCTGGTCATACATGACCACGAATTCAAGAATCCATGCTGACTAGGTATGATGACATTATTGTTGAGCATGTGTTGAAGAATATCGAATTTGAATACTTTCTCCACAATTCCAGAGACAACTGGCGTGATATTTATAGGCCTGTAGTCATTCACTTCAGTTTTTGAACTAGATTTGTGTGTAGGTATTATGAAGGACATCTTCCATAAATCGGGGTATCTAGAAGTCTACACAGATATGGAGTAGAGTTTGAGTAGTAGTAGTAGTAGTAGTAGTAGTAGTAGTAGTAGTAGTAGTAGTAGTAGTAGTAGTAGTAGTAGTAGTAGTAGTAGTAGTAGTAGTAGTAGTAGTAGTAGTAGTAGTAGTAGTAGTAGTAGTAGTAGTAGTAGTAGTAGTAGTAGTAGTAGTAGTAGTAGTAGTAGTAGTAGTAGTAGTAGTAGTAGTAGTAGTAGTAGTAGTAGTAGTAGTAGTAGTAGTAGTAGTAGTAGTAGTAGTAGTAGTAGTAGTAGTAGTAGTAGTAGTAGTAGTAGTAGTAGTAGTAGTAGTAGTAGTAGTAGTAGTAGTAGTAGTAGTAGTAGTAGTAGTAGTAGTAGTAGTAGTAGTAGTAGTAGTAGTAGTAGTAGTAGTAGTAGTAGTAGTAGTAGTAGTAGTAGTAGTAGTAGTAGTAGTAGTAGTAGTAGTAGTAGTAGTAGTAGTAGTAGTAGTAGTAGTAGTAGTAGTAGTAGTAGTAGTAGTAGTAGTAGTAGTAGTAGTAGTAGTAGTAGTAGTAGTAGTAGTAGTAGTAGTAGTAGTAGTAGTAGTAGTAGTAGTAGTAGTAGTAGTAGTAGTAGTAGTAGTAGTAGTAGTAGTAGTAGTAGTAGTAGTAGTAGTAGTAGTAGTAGTAGTAGTAGTAGTAGTAGTAGTAGTAGTAGTAGTAGTAGTAGTAGTAGTAGTAGTAGTAGTAGTAGTAGTAGTAGTAGTAGTAGTAGTAGTAGTAGTAGTAGTAGTAGTAGTAGTAGTAGTAGTAGTAGTAGTAGTAGTAGTAGTAGTAGTAGTAGTAGTAGTAGTAGTAGTAGTAGTAGTAGTAGTAGTAGTAGTAGTAGTAGTAGTAGTAGTAGTAGTAGTAGTAGTAGTAGTAGTAGTAGTAGTAGTAGTAGTAGTAGTAGTAGTAGTAGTAGTAGTAGTAGTAGTAGTAGTAGTAGTAGTAGTAGTAGTAGTAGTAGTAGTAGTAGTAGTAGTAGTAGTAGTAGTAGTAGTAGTAGTAGTAGTAGTAGTAGTAGTAGTAGTAGTAGTAGTAGTAGTAGTAGTAGTAGTAGTAGTAGTAGTAGTAGTAGTAGTAGTAGTAGTAGTAGTAGTAGTAGTAGTAGTAGTAGTAGTAGTAGTAGTAGTAGTAGTAGTAGTAGTAGTAGTAGTAGTAGTAGTAGTAGTAGTAGTAGTAGTAGTAGTAGTAGTAGTAGTAGTAGTAGTAGTAGTAGTAGTAGTAGTAGTAGTAGTAGTAGTAGTAGTAGTAGTAGTAGTAGTAGTAGTAGTAGTAGTAGTAGTAGTAGTAGTAGTAGTAGTAGTAGTAGTAGTAGTAGTAGTAGTAGTAGTAGTAGTAGTAGTAGTAGTAGTAGTAGTAGTAGTAGTAGTAGTAGTAGTAGTAGTAGTAGTAGTAGTAGTAGTAGTAGTAGTAGTAGTAGTAGTAGTAGTAGTAGTAGTAGTAGTAGTAGTAGTAGTAGTAGTAGTAGTAGTAGTAGTAGTAGTAGTAGTAGTAGTAGTAGTAGTAGTAGTAGTAGTAGTAGTAGTAGTAGTAGTAGTAGTAGTAGTAGTAGTAGTAGTAGTAGTAGTAGTAGTAGTAGTAGTAGTAATGAAATGTCGGACCCCCATTTTTAAAGAAGTATGCAACTATTCCGTCAATACCTGGGTTCTTAGAAAACTCAAGGGCTTCAAGGACTCGATTTATGTTAGCACATATGAACTGAATATTGCCAATAGGTTCCAGTATTCGAGGGGAGAATCGGTAGCTAATTTTAGCAAAAGTCACATTTTTGCTGGAGACTGCTGACTGTGTGTAGCTAGCAGCGAACGTGTTATTGAATAATTCGCTTATTTTCTCAGGCTTATTATAGACCTTAGTATCGTGAGTAGAGAGAGACCAGTTCGGTCGCTTCTTTAGGAGTCCCACTAGGGTACATAATTTGGAGGAGCTAGTTAGTGCAGTGTTTTCATTATTTTCGGCTAGCATCCCTTGATCATTAGAAATGGAACTGAGGACATTGAGAAGAGATCTAAGCTCTCCAAAGTCATGATGCTTGAAGTGATTTGTCGAGAATGTGTACAGTTTTCGACGAATATTCTGAGGTCTAAAAGGCTTCTTGGACAAGGGGTTTTTCAATTTTTTTCAGAGGGGCTATTATTTTAAGGCAAGTCTAGAAATTAGAGTACGGTGTAGTTGGTGGCAGTTCTAGATCAACCGTGTTGAATTATGTTCCCCATTCAATGCTTCTAATCAACGAACAAGCCAGATCGCAGTCTTTCTTATGGTTACCGAGCAATAAGGGGTCGGCCTAGAATTCCTGGCGCCACATTACTGTCTTCATTGACATAGTGCTAATCCCACATATTATTAGACTCTCCATGCTGCCGTCTTCAGTTATCAGCCTGACTATCAGTAGTGGGTCTCATAGGATCATAAAAGGTCTGGTTAACCACGAACGGCTGATTATCAGGGCACAAGTTATAATCATAAGTCAAGCGTGGTTGAGAACAGTATGGTGTTCAATGAAGTTTGTTAAAAGGGCGGGATATTCTAGGTTCACCCACGAATGATGCAGAACACGAGTATGGTGAGCTGGCTCCTATAAAATAATCAATAATCAGTAAACAAATATTTTATTCCCATATTCGTAATTTAACATGAGAGAAGCCAGTTTACAAGCAATCATCACATTGATATATGTTGAAAAATCTACAAGGTTTTACGGATCCTGAATTCTATTAAAAACATCAGAAGATTCCACAAGTTATGAAATGAACAAAAAAATACCAATTTTCAGCATAAGCAGAATGTTAAAGTTTAGGTCGTTTTCAGTCATACTTTATTTTTTCACCATTAGTGGCACCAAGGTGGAGCATAATTCCAAATTTCCATTACAAGCAGTCGACATGTTTAACTCGTCTTCGCAATGCCCCGTGACGCTTGATAAACGTCTATTTTACCATAAATTCTTATGCCTATAGCTTTGGGTACCAAAAGAACCCACACCAACGATTTCGATAATCTGCAAATTTCCATGTAATCCAAGTGAATATCTATTCAAGTGTTATCATTCACACCAATGTAGATTTATGCCATCAGGATTAGATATTGTGGTGCAAAGTAATCAACATTTAAAGTGCTGCAGACCAATGGTAATGAGTTTTTCATACTGTTAGTGTTAAGGTATACAGTATTATCAGGGAGATAAATTCACTGTCAGTTGGTTGGAGACAATCGGCAGGAAGCCCTTGACCTAGGTTTCATGCATTTTAACACTCGTCAGCAAGGTGTATCTACAACATCGACGGAACTGATGTCGCGCCTGAGATCCGAATCCACGTCACTCAGTATTGTAGTCAGAGACTTTACCACTGAACTGTTCGCGCCGCGATTGACCTCCTGTAGGACTGGCTTACATGCATTGATTGGTCACGCTAGTGCACTCAGGACTAGGCAATGTGAAACTGAATGCAATCCCATGACCAATCAATGCTGATAAATTCACTGTTAGATGAAGTACTATAGAAGTCTGTTGCTTAGCACTTTATAGTCTAGGTGATTTGATCTCTTAGACTTCGCTGTCTGTCCAGATATTCGTTGTCATTATGACCGTCTACAAATTTGAGCAGTTCGAGGATAGATAAATGTTCATATGATGAAATAGTCAAATGAGTGAATGGGACCGATAATTCCTACTTATTGAACAGTTATTTTTGTATGAGCATAGTTTAATTCCTTCGAAAAACAATGGAATGTTGAGAAGTGGTAACATATATTCCTCATTTGAGTCTTGTTTTCATTATTGAAGGTGATCTTGTTGATGTGGGTCTTCAAACTTTTAAGTTAAATCTTTTGTTCGTTTAGCGTTCAGATTTCAAGATGATTCAGTAAGCTTTCATCATAGTCCATTTTCTTCACAAACTAACGACATCTTCATATCGCTACTATCTGAGATTTGATAGAAAAACAGCAAAAGCAGGTGTAGCCTCTTTCTTTATCTTTGTAGTTGGAAATCATTTATATATATTAAGGGGTTCCATTATGTCTGTAGTTTTAGTTGTAGTATTGGGGATGCTTCTGATAATACAATCGTGTAATTCAGAGTTAAGCTGTCCCTGTAAACTTAGTTAAAGTGTTTGATTCATTTGCTTCCTTCCCTAGGTAAACTGTACCACATATTATTCTGTCTAGTGACTGTTTTGAAATGCTCAATTACAAGCGAAATGTTATCTAGGTTAGATTTTAAAGTGTCAGCAAACTTTCAGAAATACATTTTGTGTTCTAACAGATGAGTGATAATTGGTTTTATGCTGACTGACAAGACAAAAGTTATACACATGAAGAGACGTAGATTCTGGGTGACTGAATTTGAGCGATTGGGTATCGGGGTTAAGAAATTCGAAAGGAAGTGAAAGTAAACGGTTAAACAGGACTGGACAGAATTCTCTCCAAGAAGGTGCGATAAGAGTGATGATATATGGTGATAAAATAAAATCATCCAATCAGTATACACACATTATTCTCATCTTAACGCTATGCCGAATCTGACCATTTTCTCTTTCTTCCTTTCTCTCTGTTAGTACTTGATATTTCTTTTGACTAAATTTTCTTATCCTCCACTTCACTGCCTTTTCACTTGATGTACTGATATGAACTGTGGCAACTTGGACCGTTATGCACTAATGCCTGGTTCATGCCTGGTGTTCATTTGGATGGATAGATGGACGGATGGATGAATGTCCAACCAGTCACAGTGAAGAAAGTGGAAAGAACAAGCAGAGTCATTCACAGTGACAATGACAGAAAAAACAAACCAGATAACTAAGTTAACTTGGGTGCAAATATCTTGGCAGGGGAAGACATTTGATGCATACGAAGAGATGTGTAACAATGAGTCTATGAGGATCAGTCAGGTTCAATCTGACATGATTACATCGCGTGAGGTTCTCTATGGATTTCCAACGTCTCAAGCCTAATCAAACTCTGTTGTGCATGAACATGTGTGGATGAACATCCTTTATTGGTAGCCGATGAACATCTCCGAGATCATTCACAAAGCGAAATCTTCGCCAGTAGCGTCAGTATATGCAGATGACTTAGTTTAGCTTAACAGAAATGCTGACAACAAGGATGTTCCTGCTCACCCCACAAAAGAGTTGACGAATCATCTCACCTGCATCAATTTTGAAGTCCCTTCTCCTGTCTCGATTTCACATGAATTTTATATGCTCACAGTGAGTGAATGAGTTGCAATAACTCATACTGACCGACTAGCATATGCTGTTGGAAGTGAACTACATTTCATCCCCTTCTATTGGAAACCTTCAAGGCATCGTGAAATCTCATAATTTATAGACGAAATCAGTTTAAAAAACACTGAGAAATAAGGTAGAGCTTTTGAGAATTTAATCAACAAATGAAATGTTGTGAGCCAGCTGAAATTCATCAACTTCATATGGAACCTTCAATGCGTTAAATGCTGAAATTTTCACAAGATATTTTGGGAAACTTTAATATTAGAACAAACATACTGAGATGTTCTCTCGCCACTTGAATGACAAGATACCAGGTCAACGTCTTGAGTCCTTTCGAGATAATAAGAGAGTAAATAAGGTTACTTCTCCAGAGTTTCACCTTAGTTGAAGTTATCAATCCCCTTGAACCCGATGTATGTGTTCCAGAAAAAGTCGTAAGCAGCGTGCACATACAGTGGTAACCTGTTCCTAATTTTGATTTCACTCTATCATGCAGATGTTTATCGTTTCACTTCTGTTTTGCTACATTATCTTCTTTAAAGCCCTACTGGTTTGCATAATATGCATATATATCACATGATGAAGCTTAACTCATATTTTAATGTTTTGCCTAGTAACTTATCGTCTGGTGGCTTACAATCTTCTTACATATGCGTCTCAACATTTCGCCTGGAACCTCTACAGTCTGTTCCAGAAACTTCATCTGTATCATGCCTATAAAGCAGACAATTCGATATTCAATAAACTTCTTTCCTAAATATGCTCATGTTATTTACCACAACGCTGTGACTGCTTATATTCGTCTGAACTACTGACGGACACTTTGTTACTTCCAGTGGAGGGAGGAAAGTATCTTACAAACAAAACGGTATATGCTGACGTACTAAATTGTAAGCAAATGACAAGAGATCAACGCAATGAAATCGATCAGTTTGATCCTGTCCCGAATGTTGATCGTGCTATTTTCATGATTGACCAATGTTAAAATGATTTATTTCAGGGTGTACTTTTGACTGTCACTGCCATAGGCATAGATGTAAACAACTAAGTCAATACTGAATGGAGGAATTCTGGTAGTATTTAAACTCCGTGATAATATACATACCCGCTGAAATGAAACAATTAATTCATTTGCTGCCTTCAGTGAGATTTCGTAACTTATCCCTACAGTCATTCAACATGCTACCACTTGGGTGGTACTACAGCTTTAACCGCAAATCTTGAGTACTGCTGTGTAGTTGACACGACAATGATTTGAGGGAATTATCCTTATGAAAGACTCTCTTGCATCCAGTGTCGTCATTTTACTCAGCCTACACTAAGAGATTATGAGAATGTAGGATTAATTTATGACGATGTGTCAAGTAATTTTC